TTTTTCTGAAATTCTGAAACTCGTTTCACTTTTTTTCATGTCTGACACAAATACATCCCAAATATAAAAACTACAGACAATTTTAAAGTCTGGAAACAATTTTTAAAGTAAAAAAATACCTAAAGATATGCTTGAGTTGTTTAAAGTTTTTTTATAGATTGGCAGCTGAAATATAATTTTAAAAAATTGAAAAATTCTTAAACAAAAAATTGACCCACTTTTAAAATCTAATATAAAAAAATAGTTATTTGCAATTATGTTTTTTTTATAAAAAAATAATAGTTTAAAAACAAAATTAAATTTGTTGAAAGCTTTTTACAAAAAAAAGTTTTGCAAAATAAAAAGCTGCTGGTCGAATGTATGCGAATAAATAAACAAAATAAAACAGAGCAACAAAAAAAGAAAAAAATTGAACTGAAAAACAAAAGACTGAAGCAACAAACGTGATAAATTATAAATGCTTGGCACATAACAACAACACCAACAAAAGCAACATTCACAAAAATTGGCCAAGTTGTGGCGGGGAAAACATATACAAAATTTAGCTTTAGCTTTAATTTAATTTTTCTTTTTTGTTAAAGAAAACCTTAAACGTATCTTTGCTGATATTGTTTTTTGCTATATATTTTAAGTTCGCTTCAATTTTTGACTTTTTGTTTGCACGTCAGTGTAAATGTCATGAAATATTGTTTGTATACAAAAAGATTTCAATGTTTTTACAAATGTTTTTTTTTTTAAAGAATGAAACCAAAAGAAAAAAACTTAACGGTTTAATGGTGCTATATTGTAATTAAGCAAAATTTAATTAATAGCTAACTTAAATTTACTCAAGTGTTTATAATTTTGCTCTTGGTATTTTAGATTTTAAAACGCTTCAATACTTTTGCTTAAACTTCTCTTTTTCATTGTAGTTATAATTTTAAATTGGCTGAAAGACTGGAAGTTGTAGCAAAAGTAGTTCATATTAAATTAAGGAAGTTTTTAAAATTTTATACTTCCATGGTTTTAATAATACATAGTACAATACAAATTTGGCTAAACAATTGTTAAACAAAAAACAAGAAACTTAATTTACAATATTAAATATAAGTATATAGTTAAGAAATAATTAGAGGAGCTTTATTTTCAAAAGCCTATTTTCAAAATTTGGGTTACATAAATATCAAGCGTAAGTTTTAATAAACAAACATACCATAATTAATTGGTATAATTTAAATAAGTCGTCAGCTGACTAATTTATGCATTGACAGTGGATTGAGAAAGTATTTAAACAATAAAAAAGGTAGATATTTGTGTTTGTCGAATCTTTTGTACACTTCACTATAAAAATATACATTTTTTTTACATTTTTAGTCTAGTCTATAGTCTAGTCTATAGTCTAGTCTATAGTCTAGTCTATAGTCTAGTCTATAGTCTAGTCTATAGTCTAGTCTATAGTCTAGTCTATAGTCTAGTCTATAGTCTAGTCTATAGTCTAGTCTATAGTCTAGTCTATAGTCTAGTCTATAGTCTAGTCTATAGTCTAGTCTATAGTCTAGTCTATAGTCTAGTCTATAGTCTAGTCTATAGTCTAGTCTATAGTCTAGTCTATAGTCTAGTCTATAGTCTAGTCTATAGTCTAGTCTATAGTCTAGTCTATAGTCTAGTCTATAGTCTAGTCTATAGTCTAGTCTATAGTCTAGTCTATAGTCTAGTCTATAGTCTAGTCTATAGTCTAGTCTATAGTCTAGTCTATAGTCTAGTCTATAGTCTAGTCTATAGTCTAGTCTATAGTCTAGTCTATAGTCTAGTCTACAGTCTAGTCTATAGTCTAGTCTATAGTCTAGTCTATAGTCTAGTCTACAGTCTAGTCTATAGTCTAGTCTATAGTCTAGTCTATAGTCTAGTCTATAGTCTAGTCTATAGTCTAGTCTATAGTCTAGTCTACAGTCTAGTCTATAGTCTAGTCTATAGTCTAGTCTATAGTCTAGTCTATAGTCTAGTCTATAGTCTAGTCTATAGTCTAGTCTATAGTCTAGTCTATAGTCTAGTCTATAGTCTAGTAGTCTAGTCTATAGTCTAGTCTATAGTCTAGTCTATAGTCTAGTCTATAGTCTAGTCTATAGTCTAGTCTATAGTCTAGTCTAGTCTATAGTCTAGTCTATAGTCTAGTCTATAGTCTAGTCTAGTCTAGTCTAGTCTAGTCTATATTCTAGTCTACAGCAATCCCTCGATTTATGTTTCAAAATTATTTGTTACTTCCAACATCGATTCATATTGACGTCGCACAGTGGGGTGAATTTGAAAAAGGGATACTTATTTTTAAATCCTTATTTTAAGGATCTTCAGATTTCAATAATATTTCTCATGATAGGAGGCGATGTGCTGTAGAGTTTAAATTTGGTCTTCGAAAATACATCGGGTGTGGGTCCCGAAGTATTCAAATTATGGCACGTCGGGTAGGTATATGAAAAGTTTGATTTTACTTTGAGGATGCCAGGAGAATTATAGTTTTTAAATTATATTGAAGATAACAATCATAGGGTAAATCGAGGTGTTACAGTATTTTAAACCTTTTCAACATATGTATATTAATATTAATGTTTGTATGTATGTTAGCATTGCACTTGTTGTTATTTACATATAAATACTGCTATTGTAGTTACCACTGCTGCCACTATTGTCTTCTGTGTGTTGCATATTAATTAATATTTATTTAGGTTTTTCTACAACGACTTCTTTAATAAAATTTATAATTTGTTATAAACTTTATACAGTTAGTTTTGTCTTTTGAGTGCATTTGTTATCTAGCAAACGTACACACACACTCGACATAACTCTAGTGCATTGTTTAAACAAATAATAATAAACAACTACCAACATTGCATACAAACGATTACTATAAGTAGTTGTTAGTTATCATGAACTGAACCGTTATAAGTATGTCATATTTTATAACATAATGTTGACTGTTACATGCTTATAAACATGTTTGAATATGTATGACTGTGCCTGAGATGATAACGAGTTAGTTGTTGCATCTTCTTTCTAAAGGTTATTGAACCCAATTGCGAAGAAATCTGTGAACTTTTTTTTGGCTTTTGGCCAAAACAATAAAAAATTAAATTTAAAGAAAAAATGTAACAATTTATATTCCAGAGTTGTTTTACAGATTTAAAAAATTCATGAGAAATTTCAAATAACATTAATTATAATAATTACTTAACCCATTTTTTAACTAACAGGATGTAAAAAAAGAGATTATAAATAAAATGTAACATAATATCGGAAGAGCTTGTATATATACAAGTTCGATTAAATTTCAAAAATCATTTCGGGATGAACCTGTTTTTGACACATTTTGAGCGATAGTACTTTGGAATATGGGTTCGTCTATAGTCGAGACTAGAGTAATCTGTTGTCTGGACTATTATCTCGTCTGTAATTTGGACTATAGCCTAAACTATAGTCTGGACTTTAGTCTTCACTATAGTCTAGTTTATAGTCAGGACTATTGTCTAGTCTATAGTCTGGAATGAAGTGTAGTCTGTAATCTGGATCTATAGTATATACTCTACTACATAGTATGGACTATAGCCTACTCTATTGTCTAGACTATCGTCTACTATAGATAGTCTGAACTATAGTCTTCTCTATAGTCTAGTCTGTAGTCTGGACTTTATTCTAGTCTATAGTCTGGACTGTAGTCTAATCTGTAGTCTGGGCTATAGTCTAGTCTTGATTACAGTATACTCTGTAGTCTGGACTATAGTCTAGTCTGTAATCTGCACTATAGTGTGGACTATAGTTTGAAATATATTCTGGACTATAGTCTGGTCTAGTCTCTACTATAGTATAGTCTGTAATCTGGACTATAGTCTAGTCTATAGAATGGACTATATCCAGTCTCAAGTCTTCAATATATTCTGGTCCAAGGTCTGGAATATAGTCTAGTCTGTAGTGTAGACTGTAGTATAGTCTATAGTATATTGTCCAGACTACTAGTCCGGATTATAGTATAATCTGTAGTCTGGATTATACTCTGGTCTGTAATCTGCACTATAATCTGGGCTTTAGTCTATAGTCTGGACAATAGTATAGTCTGGATTATAGTCAACTATAGTCTGTACTGTGGACTATAGTTTAGTGCGAAGTCTGTAGTATATTTTAGTCTGTAGTCTGGAATATATTCAACTTTGTAATCTGGAATAGTAGTTTGAGATTACTTAGTCATATAGGCGGATGTTATAGACAGATATTCTGTTCTCTCAGAAATTGATTCTGATGATCATTCAGAAACTAATAAATTTTGATTTTTTCTGTTTAGTTAATATTTGTTACTCGCAATGACAACAATAATAAAAACAATTATTGTTTTAAATTTAATTCAACTCAATTGATCAACGTGTCTGATGAAAGATATCATAACGATTTTTTTCAAATACACATGTTAAACGCATTTAATGATAAGCTTTGCATGTCTGAAGACATGATGATCATGTTTTAGATGAAGCTGTTGATGATGATGATTTGTGATACAAGCCTACTTTAATCAAATTTAATCATATATTTCCGCTTTTAGAAATATAAAAGGGTTTTACCAAAAGAGTTGTAAATTCATTTAGGTAGAATAAGCTTTTGCAGTAATATGCCACTCCCCCTTTTACGACCCTAATTTAATTAAGGTTTTATATATATCATGAAAGTACTTTAATAAGTTAAAATATGTGATCACTTAAAGCTTTAATAGGCCATAGATGCTTAAATGTCGCTCCAATGAGAACATTTTTAAAATCCTAAAACTGTGATCATTCATATTTTATATAATTCCAATAACTTCTCCTAATGGAAAACCTCGTATAATTTATAATATAAATTGCAATAAAATATAATAATCATAATAATGTTTAAATTATTTATAGTGCCGTATGATCTTGAATGTATAAACAAATTGATATTGTTGTTGTTTTTTTTCTTAAATTCATTTATTTTATGTGTTGCTTTATTTTATATCTTTGCAGATTATTAAAGAAAATTTGAAAACACGAGCACGTTTTAAAAACAGTAAATTCCAAAAAGACAGTCCATAACAATTTTGGCCGAATTCCCAAAAATTAATGCCAAGACAACGAACCAGTCACAGATCAAATTGTTGTTGTTTTGTTTTAACAAACTGCAACAAGCAGCTAACGAACGAATAGTGATCGTGGTTGAGAGACATGTTATGGATGGACAACTTTTGCCAAGTATTTCGTCACAAATATTAGAGTGACTTGTTTATAATTAAATATAAACAAACTCAAACTTAAAATTTATAATGACATAAAGGAAATAGCAAAAAAAAAATGAAGGCAAACTGTTAAAAACTGTTATGTTTTTTTGGTAATAAAATTTTGAGTGTTTGCAAAAATTGTGTTTTGTTTGTAAATAAAAATTTTTAAATGAGTGAAAGCCTGTGTGTATATTTTACATAAAAATATAACAACAATAACTACTTTCAGCTAAAATACTCATTAAATCAAATGTTTGCTGGCGAAAACAAAAAAACAATAAAAAATTAAATAAAAGACAACAACTATCTAGCCATCTAGTTAACATTTTACGCCGACGCATGTTGGATTTACCTTTAAAATAATAAAAACAAAATTTAGCTTTTAAAACACCGATCAAGAGAAAGAGCTGCAACAACATAAACGTTTTAAACATTTTGAGTGTTTTAACGTGAAAGTAACGTTACGAGTAAGCTGCGCATGCTCATTGAACATTTTTCGTGAATCACTGAAATCAGTTGATATTGAAAATTATAACGGTAAAGACGTAAAAAGTATACAAAATAACACAGCTCCGTTAAAAATGCTCATAAAAGTGGCGCGTTTGAAGTTAGCTACAACAACAACAGAAAACTAACTTAAGTGATTGAACCAACCTAATGACAGCTGTTGAAAAGTGTTTAATTTTTATGTTTAAATATTCAATTAAAACAAACAAAAGCTATTATAATGCTAAAGGCTTTAAATTAATAAAATAATTATTATTATTTGTTTAAAAAAGTGCTAACAACAAATCAATTTTAACGGTTTTTTTAGTTAAATATCTCTACAAACTTAAACCCAAAAAAAAAAAAAAAAAAAAAATTTTTTCTCATCTTAAAAAAATATGAATAAAAGAAATATATAAATAAATTAACCAGTGAAAGTGTTTTGCAAAAAAATTGAAAACAAAATACATATGTACATGCTTTATACTTCAACTATAAAAAAACATTTTTAAAGTGAAGAAAATTACTTTTTTTCCATCATTTTCCATGTTTACCACATGTCCATTAATCAATATTCGTGGTTTGAAAATTTAAGAAAAAAAATTTCTTTTATATTTATTGTTTCTCTTTTAACCAAACAGTATTTGTGTCATAAGATTTAAACCAATTTTGTTTTAAAGAAAATATAAAAAAAAAAACCTAATACTCTCGTTTTACTGGCCTTAATCAACGCTCAACAAAATGCAACAGTCTACAGATTTCTTACTGCTGTCAATATTTTGTTTGCTGTCACTCTCCACCCCGCCAATTTTATCGTCCACATCAGCGTCATTATCATCATCATCATTGCAGTTTACCGGTGAGTGTTAAGAAATGTCCATATTAATTTATTTCATTTAGAATTACATCGGTATAATATGTATGTTCGTATTAAAAAAGAAAGATAATTAAATTGTATTATTTAGAAATTATTAATTTAGGTGTTATTTTGTGAAATTTGTGTTAATCTTATGTTAAATGAATTCAAATCAGACAGTAAAGAGTTTTAGAAATTTAATTATCGACATAATCGCACATTTTATAATGTTTATAATTTAAAAGAGGCCGTTTCTTGATCTAAATTTTAAATCAAATTTATTAGTAAAAGATAAGGAAATTTAAGATTAAACTCCTTGCTCGTTATATTTATACACCACTAGCTATACCCAGTGTGCTTTGCTACACTAAAAGCAAAAAAACCCACTTACACATGGGAGATGCCAATCAAATTATTGCAAGTTCGCCAATTTTTCTGAATTTAATTAATATGTGAGGGGCCAATCCCCCCATTGAAAGTCCGCCAATTTTTTTCTAAATGGTCAAAATTTGTCTATATAATGCATATGGGGGTTCCAAGCCACCCCCTGATGAAAGTCCGCTTTTTTTCCCCCAAAATGTCCAGATGAATATGAAAGTCCTTTTTGCAAAATTTTAGGAATCTAGTTCTATTAGTTTCTTAGATAAAATATTTTGTTGTATTTAATTCATATGGGAAGTGCCGCTCCCCCTATTGGTAGTCCGCCAATTTATCACCCAAAATATTTACATGGATGCTATAGTTCTTCTTGCAAAATTGGAAGCTTTTAACTCTAATAGTTTCCAAGATAAATGAGTTTGTGTATTTAATTAAGGAGGTGCCACGCCCCTGCTGCTAGTCCGCACACTTTTTATCCTAACTAATCACATTGAGACTTATGTGGCTCCGACCAAATTTGAGGGCTCTAACTGTTACATTTTCCGAGATATACTGATTTAATATTTTCTTAATATGGAAGGTGCCACGCCCACTATAGTCATTCCGCCCATTTTGTCCCTGAAAATTTTGAGAACTCTAATTGTACCAGTTTTCAAGATATATGACTTTTAATAGCTATTAAATAAGTAGGCGTGGCAACTCGCGTACTTGAAATTTTAAAATAATAAGTAGCCTATAGTTCCTTCTAGATATACAGGAAGGTACTGTTAAAATTTCAAGGAAATCGGTCCAGCCGTTTAGCCGTCTATAGACTTCAAACAAACAAAACCACAAACAAACCCACAAACAAATAAACACACATTCATTTTTATATATATAGATTAAGATTATAGTAAGCAGGGTTTTATGCGTTTGTGGTGTTGTTTCCAACATCCAAAAAAATTGGTTCGTACGCCAAGTTCGGATAGATACACCTCTTATTGATCCTTCCATCGGATATTTCGCCGCCCTCTTCTGCGGTTTCCCTCTGGAAAGATTTTCCTGCCGGATCATTGTCATCCATTTGCACAACATGCCCGAGCCATTGTAATTGCCGTAATTTAATACGATCGACTATGTTCGCGCCATCATATAATTCATACATTTCATGGTTCACAGATCCATATATTCTTCGGAGGATTTTTCTCTCAAAAATCTAAATTGCCTGCCTAGACCGAAATAACATCCAATTGCAAGTATCATCCCACCTGTATGGGGATATTACTGTTCTTAGTTAGGGCGGTATCGGGGTATACAGGACACAGTACGCTGAAGTTCCAGTCCTCGGGCATGCGTTCATTCTGCCAAATTTCATCAATTAGTTTACGCATGTAACCAAGTTACAAGTCTCCTATAGCCTTTAATAGTTACTCTTGCAAGTCATCTGCTCCCGCAGCTTTATTGTCATTAAGTCTAAATATCTCGAATTTGACATCAGCTGGATGTTGTACACTCGACATTGTCATCCATGATCTCTTCTGATTACCGGAAGTATCCGTTACGAAGTTCTCATTTCCATCCCTACATCCATTCCATCCCGTCCGATGTTCGACCCTTTGGTAGAATTTCAGTACCCCTTTCCCAATCTCATTCATTTCAATTTCTCCACACTCACGTCTTTCCATTTCTCTCCTTTTGCGCCGCAATAGGCGCTATTCTGCCCTTCATTTCCCTTGTATTTATCCCTCGCAGCTCGTATTACCACTCAGCGTTGTAATGCCATGTAAGCTTTGTTATCCTTCCTAGTAGCTTTACGGTATTTCTGGTCATATCATTGGTTTCCTGGGGGAGGTGTTTGGCTCCCAAGTGCAGATTTAGCAGCATTATCCAGGGAGTGGGAAATATATTCCTGAACAAGGAGTGTATTGTAGCAATTGGGTGTAATATGCATCTGCCATATTTGGCACCTGCAGCTTAGCGATTTGTAGCCTTCCCCGTATCTCAGTTTCGCGACGTACCTTTGTCACTTTGTTTAAACGAGTGCGAACCTCAGCCATAACAAGATTGTCATCCGAATCGATACCGGATGAGTGCCTTCCATCAATAATAATATGCTCAATCTGATTCCTAGGGAGTTGATCTCTGGATATCAAGGTGTTGGAATCTTGTATTGCTATTAACCATTGTCGGTAGTTTCCCGGTGGAGGCACAATTTACCGACAGTAGAGCCCCTCTCTACCTATTTTGGTACTAGAGTCTGCCATGATTATCTTAATATCATGAGAAAGGCAAAGGTGATGTGTCCGCTCAAGGCGCTCGTAAAAACTATACTTCGTATGTTCGTCTTTGTCTTCTGTAGGGTGGTAGGCATATACATATAAGGGAGGTGAAGAAGGTTGTAGAATTTAGCGCGTATACGAATAGAAGCTAGCCGTTCGTCCTCTGGAGTAAACCCAGAGTGATCAAACTCTTCCGTCTATATTTTCGTACTTCTTTAAAGACGACAAATGATTTGACGATACTCTTCATCAGGAAGATACCTTATAGCCGAATATATCTCTGATACTAGAACATTAACCACTAACCCATCTAAGACAAACTTTTAAAAAATAACTTTCATGGGAAATTAATCGCAGAATTTTATCGTTTCAGTTTTAGTTTTAATTTAGGGCTTTAGGACTTTTCAATGTAAGTTTTTGCTGGGAAGTAATCATAATATTTTGTAGAGTATAAAGTAGGGTTCTATAGTTGAAAGGAAAAGTCGACTTTTCGACTTTTTTCATTTAGTTAAAAGTCGACTTTTCGACTTCTCGACTTTTTGCATTTTATGAAAAGTCGATTTTTCGACTTTTCAACTTTTTTCATTTAATTAAAAGTCGACTTTTAGACTTTTCGACTTTAAGTATTTTATAAATAGTCGACCTTTTTCATTTATTTAAAAGTCGACTTTTCGACTTCTCGACTTTTTGCATTTTATGAAAAGTCGATTTTTCGACTTTTTTCGACTTTTCGACTTTTTTCGACTTTTTCCGACTTTTTTCGACTTTTCGACTTTTTCCGACTTTTTGACTATTTTCGACTTCTTTCGACTTTTTTTTGACTATTTTTTGACTTTTTTCGAGTTTTTCCGACTATTGTAGAGTTATTGACTTTTTTTCCACTTTTTTTAAGATTTTCGACTATTTTTGACTTTTTTCTACAATTTTCGAGTTTTCGACTTTTTCCGACTTTTTTCGTCCTTTTCCTACTTTTCGACTTTTTCCGACTTTTCGACTTTTTTCGACTTTATTCGACTTTTTTCGACTTATCGACTTTTTTCGACTTTTATTAACAAAGTCGACTTTTCGACTTTTTTCACAGACCATAGTTGAGTTATCGACTTTTTTGGAACAAAATAGTCGACTTCGACTTTTTTCGACAAAAAGTCGATTGTTCGATTATTCGAAAGTCGATTTATAGAACCCTAGTATAAAGTAACCCATATTTTATTTAATATCCATTTATTGCATTATTTCGTTTTCAAATTTAATATTCATACATTAGGACCCATATTTATAATTTTTAAAATATTTTGTCTTAAAATTGAGCAATTTTAGCTCAAATGCATAAATTAGTTAATCATGTTATTGGTTGTAATTATCAATATTAATTTGTGAAACTCTAATTGATAAAAGGATAATATGGGATCAGGTTTTCTTATACTAGCGGCTTAATTTATGTATATACATGTATGTATCCAAAATGAGCTCAAAATACTATTTAGTAAGAGGTTGAATAAATTTATAAATAATGTTGTTGTTTAATGAATTTATATAAGTTTATTTACTTAAATAAATTTCTTAAATGATACATAATGCTTCATTTAATTTTTAATGTTTGTGTTTATTTTTTATGCTCTTAATTTGAAATATTTAGTTTCTTTTAGTACAACAGATATCATTAAATTGCGTTTCGTATAAACTTTAAATGACTTTTCTAATTATAAAATTGTTTGAAACTTATTTTTATTGTCATAATTATCGTTAGTATAATTATTATTATTATTTTTGCTTTGTTTGAAAAGTAATACATTAATGAAGACTCTTCAAAGTTTGAATAAAAATCAGCAGATACTACTAACGCAAGCAAAATCATAAATACACAATTAATGCCAACTTATTAACACATTCTGTTAACCATGAATTATGTCGTAATAACTTACCAAAAAAAAAATGAAACACGACTTTTATACGAAAAAAATCTAATAATAAATTAAATAAACAAATAATGGTCATAGATTCAACAATACTTAAGTTATGTTCAACTAAAGTGGTGTGTACTTAAAAAGTTAATAAACTAAAGTACAAAAACCAAAAAAAAAAAAAAAAAAAAAACTGTTACATCATTGAACGTTTTGTCACTGTAAACAATCACGGACCAACAAGACCACTACTGTCTGGTTACGACGCCTCGTCTGTTTACCTTCATTTCTTTAGTTTTTAGTGATTTTTTTTTTTAATTTTGTATTTAATGTAAAAACATTTGTTATTCATTTATTTACTTTGGGTTGAAAATTTAACAATTTGTTTGAAAAAAAAAACTAAAAGAAATCACTTTTAGGTGGGGGATATTAAAAAAAAAAACACATAACTGATTCATGCGGCTGCTGCTATGAAATGGACATTGTGCATTATGAAATCGTGTAGTTTTTAATATGCAGAGTTATTAAGGAATTTATTCATTTTGGAACTGTTCCCACTTAAAATTTGGCAAAATGTTAACAATTGCCTTATATAACATAAATATATTAAAATGGCACTGGGAACAGTTTAAATCAAAACTCTTCCCACTTAAATAATTTCGCATTAGTATAATAAACGTTTCTTTGCAATTATTTATAATGGATTATATGATATTTTTCATACTTCTACGAAATTTCAACTGGGAAGAGTTAAAATAAAAAGTGTTACCACTTTATTATCTTTTTAAAATATCAGAATTTTCTTTTATATTAATTATTTAATAAAATATAATTATTTTAATGATATTTACGAATAACTTTAACATGGGAACAGTTTAATTCGAAACTGTTCTCTCTTAAAATTTTTGCAAAAATATGTAAATTTTCTTGAGTGTTCAATGTTAATGAAAGTTTTACTATTTTTATTATTTAGCTAAAAATTTGCACTGGGAACAGTTGAAATCAAAACTGTTACCATTTGAAATTTTTCTAAAAATTTCAAAATTAATAATAAAATTGATTTTTTATAACAATGTTTATAATTTTTTAATATTTGGTTTTAAATGAGTACTGGGAACACTTGAATTATAAACTGTTCCCACTTAAATATTTTGGAATTAGAAGAGCAAAAGTTTCTCTGCCATTCCTTATAAGTGGTTTCATGTTATTTTCCATGTTTCTTGGAAATTATTACTGGGAACAGTTGTAATAAAAAGTGTTCCCACTTCAATAAGTTCCAGATATAATATAAATTACTTTTATAATAGTTATTAAGATATTAGTATTTTTATTATATTTACCTCAAAATTTACCATGGGAACAGTTTAATTCGAAACTATTCTCACCTCAAATTTCAACAAAAAATTTAAATTTTCTTAAATTTTGATCAGTAATTAATGATTTCTTGCTTTATTTATTTCTAACTGCAAATTAGCACTGGGAACAGTTGAATTCAAAACTGTTCTCATTTGAAAATTTTCTAAAAATGTCAAAATTCATTTTGAAATTGATTTTTTACTAAAATTTTATTGTAATTTCAATATTTAACTTCAATTGTGCACTGGGAACAGTTGAATTCTTAACTGTTCCCACTAAAACATTTTAGAGCCAAAGAAAAAAAAAAAGATTCTTGCACATTCTTTATAGGTTTTTTTATAATATCTATATTTCTTTGAAATTCCAACTGGGAACAGTTGAAATGAAATGTGTTCCCACTTAAATTGTTTCCAGAAATGTTATAAATTACTTTTAGAATAGTTATTCAGTAAAATTTTATTATTTTTTATCATATTTACCTATAAATTGAAGTGAGAACAGTTTCAAACTAAACTGTTCCCACTTGGAATTTTTAACAAAAAAATTTAAATTTTCTTAAATATTGTTTATTAATTAAAGATTTATTTCTTCATTTATAATTAGCTGCAGATTAGCACTGGGAACAGTTAAATTTAAAACTATTCCCACATGAAATTTGTCATTTTTAGTTTATAATTATAAAAAAATAACTACTGAGAAATCTAAAGGTCCATGGGAACAGTCAAATTTACAACTGATCCCACTTATTTTCCTAAAATTGCCGATTTGTTTCTATTTTTCTCAAATATAAAGGGCTTTATGATTTCATAAAGAATTCATTATTTCAAACAGCTGTCTACTGCAGTGATCGCTGCTTACATGTAATATTATTTTACAACCCGATTATCTAATCGTCAACATGTGTTAATTAGTTTTCATGCAACAAAAGAAACTTCTTATATTGATCGATCGTGTGTGTCAGGTACAAATTAAACAATCAACTGGTCCATTTATCAAAACAACTAAATACATAATTTCAGAAAAGGTGTTAAATTTCATACACCACATTAAAAATTTGAAATGATCTTTGTTTTTTTGTGTATTTGTTTTTCTTTTCAATTTATTTTTTTTATGACATTAACACTTTTATTTAATTGCTGTGGTAAACTAATTGTTGTTTTTATTGTTGGTGTATGTTAAATGTATCTCGCTTTAATGAATAGAGGAAGTATTTATTTGGTAGTATGCAAATTATTTTGTGGTTTATGCCGGCTATATAATAGTTTTTAATAGATTTATTTTCATTAAATGATCATCTTTAATTGCTCGTTTATATAAAATTTAAATACTTAATTACAAAATATTGCGTAAAACTTGCAAATTTTCTGTTTTAAATGAAAATCTTTTTTATTAATCATAAAAGCTGAATAGTTCACTTTTTGGACTTTTTAATTAATAATAAAGAATTTTAATAACATTTTTTACTGACTTTAGAGAATAATTTCCGTAGGGATCGACACGCGCCAAGAATAATTTATTTAATTATTTTATGTACTTAAATGGCAGAATGTTAAAATACACACATGTAAGCTATAAATTTAAATTTTTAAAGATTTAACTTTGGATGGAGTAGTTAAGATATAAAATTAAAGATTGAATATAATATGATAACCTAAAATGAACTATAATCCCTTAAAAAGTAAACCTATTGAAAAATTATGACAACTCTAATATATTTTATTTTAGCTTTTAATGTTTGTCTTTTAGAACTACTTGGTTTCTTAGAAAGAGCTTTTAATTGACCATTGTATCCCAGCGACATATTCAGTAAATTTTTTAAGTTATAACATTTGCTTATTACTCTAAGACTTGTTAATAGACTAGTAAATATTTACAGGCTAGTCAATGGACTACTTCATAGTCCAGTGCACTAGTCAATAAAATAGTTCATAGTATGGTCAATAGACCAGGGACTAGTCGAAAGACTAAAAACTAATTCATAGAATATTCAATAGACTTGCCTAAAGGCGAGAGAATAAACTTGTCATTAGACTAATGCCTAGACTTGTCCATCTACTAGTTAATAGATTAATCGATAGAATATAACAAAGTCAATAGACTTGTACTTAGATTAGACTAGTCGAAGAACTATAATCAAGTCAATTGTTTATAGACTAGATAATAGACCTGTCAGTAAACTGATCCATAGATTTGTTCAGCTACTTCTTAATAGACTAAGCAATAGACTATTTTATAGACCAGTCGATAGACTAGTCCATAGACTAGTTCATAGTGTAGTCAATAGTCTTGTCCATAGACTAGCGAATGTTCGGTGCATTGACTAGTCTATAGATTAGTGCATATAATAGTTTAACAAATAGTCATTTGACTAGCCAATAGACTAGTCAAACATTTCATGGGTCCGATTTTATATTAATGTTCGGATATATGTATATCCGAACATATGGTCAAAAATATGGGTTTTTGGGGATTTTAATTATATCTCAACCATGTACGAGCAGATTTTGGGAAACATATGCCTTGTGATCGCTTCAGATTTTTACCAGATTTTAGCTGTATATAGTTTATTAATCAAAACGAGACCGGGAGTTTAGAGAAGCCAGATTTTTTAATGAAACTTTAAATCAAATCAAATATTTTGAAATCCAATTTATTTGATAAGTCCATAATGTATATTTTTTATACTAATCTATATTTGTTTCTATCCCTTTTCAGATACTCAACAACCTAAAAATAACGAAATTCTATTAACACCCGAAGAATCACTCAATCAAAAATTCGCCGACAGTCCGGCAAATCATACAGAATATGTCAGAGCTGTAAGAGAATCGATAAAGGAATATGAATTATATCGGCGAAGAGTTAAGCCTTCAAGGTACAAAATAATATTATAGCCCAGGAATTTTTTAATTCTACAAAAGTTTCTAGAACTAACTTTTTTTAGCTTGTTCCAAATTGTTGGTTTCTTTCTATAATAAATGATTTTCATTCTAAATTGTTTCCCGAAACAATAAGCTATTTTAGAACGTGAAAGAAAGTTTCTGAGTACAGTTTATTAATAAATGATTTCTGTTCGAAATTGTCACCCTATGACCTTATAGAAGTAATTTTTTGACTGATTTAATATTTCTTATTTTTAACCATTTCCAAGAAATTGGTTCAAAATTTATATGTAATCTATTGAATTTCTATTTTGTTCGCGCTCCTACTAGAACTAGTAATTTCAGAATAATTACTGAAATTTTGTCTGGGAATATAACGAATACTTTTATACCTTAAATCTGTTTTTTATCATGTTTATATTTTTCTCTCAGAGTTAAACGTGCCGCCAAACGCGTCTGTTATGGTGAACTGGGTTGTTTTGAAGATTCTGGACCATTTGCTTACTTGGAAATGTTACCATCTCCTCCCGATGAAATCAATACAAAATTCTTTTTCTATTCGACTAAAAATAGATCAGATAGACCTTTAATGGAATTGCCCTTTCTCAACATGACCGAAGCTTTTAAAAAGTCAAAAACTTATATTAAGAAAAGAGGTGCAAATGATACAGACGTACCAGATGTGACTACTGAAGGTCCACAAGCTACCACATTACCTCCTAGGAAAACGACGTTTCGTAAAACTCCTATTACTCTGGATGATTTGGTGGGATTTGATGAAATGTCAGTGCGTATTATAGTACATGGTTTTGGTTCAGCTTGTCCCCATGTCTGGATCTATGAAATGAAAACGGCTTTAATGGCTGTGGTAAGTGGCGAAAAGAAAGCTAGAATTTTAAATAAAATTTTAATTTTTATAATTTTCTTTTTTTAATATTAGGAAGATTGTATTGTTATATGTGTGGATTGGGAAAATGGTGCCACATTTCCCAATTATGTAAGAGCCGCCACAAACACCCGTTTAGTGGGTAAACAATTGGCCATGTTGATTAAGAATTTACAGGAATATAAGGGTCTGAATCTGTCTCGTACTCATATTATTGGCTTTAGTTTGGGTGCTCATGTCTCGGGTTTCGCCGGAGCTGAATTACCCGGCTTAGCACGCATTACTGGTTTAGATCCGGCGGGTCCTCTCTTTGAGGCTCAACATCCTAAAGTTCGCTTGGATAATACCGATGCCGAGTTTGTCGATGTTATACACTCGAATGGGGAGAATTTGATATTGGGTGGTTTGGGCTCTTGGCAACCTATGGGAGATGTAGATTTTTATCCCAATGGTGGTAGGGTGCAAAACGGTTGTTCGAATTTATTTGTGGGAGCTGTTACGGATTTTATATGGTGTAAGTTTTAGTTATTTGCTCTTTAATAGAATAGAATCGAATAGAATTATTATTTTTCCAATTTTCTTTTTAAAGCGGCCCAGACAGCTGAAGAAGAAGAAGGACGTTCTTTGTGTAATCATCGTCGTGCCTACAAATTCTTTATCGATTCTGTAGCTCCTCGCTGTTTGTTCCCAGCTTTTCCTTGTGCCAACTATGATGATTTCTTAAAAGGCAAATGTTTCCCTTGTGCTCAAGATGATGAAGATTTAGCAGAGGGTGTACCTCGCTGCGGTAATATGGGTTATTATGCTGATCGCTCTTCAGGTCGAGGACAATTGTATTTGGTTACTCGTGAGGAGGAACCATTTTGTGCCCATCAATTCCAGTTGCAAATCTTTAACTCTTTCAACGATTTGCCCTTAAGAACTATTGGACGTTTAGAAGCTATTTTGGAGGGTGAAGGTGGATTGAATGAAACCTTTAAAATATCAGAGTAAGTTATTTTTCTTTTATTGCTCAAATGGGGGAAAAATTTGGAACTGATTTTCGAAAATTCGCTGCTAAGCTGGAAATTATTTTTAAGTTCTTTTAAATATCTTTGTCAATTTTTAGAAAATTTTCTGAAATTTTCCTTTTTATAGAAAAAAATCTATTTTCTATAGAAAATTATCGAAAATCCTTCTGTTCTATAGAAATTTTTCGAAAATTTCACTTTTTATAGAAAATTTTCTGAAAATTTTTCTTTTTTAATGAATTTTCTCAAAAAATTCTCTTTTCTGTAGAAAAATTTTCTATAAAAAATTTATAGAAAATTTTCAAAAATTCTCTTTTATAGAAAGTTTTTGGAAAAAATCTGTTTTTTATAGAAATTTTTCGAAAATTTAAATTTTGTTCTTTATAAAAATTTTCGAAATTTGATTTTTTTAAATAAACCTTTCTTATTCCCACAGAAAAGACGACTCTGAATTCTTTGCGGGAGATATTGTCTCAAAAATCATAGTGCCTCATCCAGCTTTAGGATTTCCCACTACACTTAGTCTCAACTATAAACCCTATAGTGGATGGCTATCGAAAGGTTTACCCCACTGGGATATCGACAAAGTTGTGTTAACCGATAGTTATGGTAGAAGTTATTCCTTGTGCAAAACTAACACGAAATTATCTTCGGGAGCTCCAGTACGCATAAAACTAAAGCCGGGTAATTGTGAATTAGATAATCAAGATGAATACGGTGCTTTCACTAGTAGACCACCCACTGAAATACCCGATTCTACGGGTCAGGAAAGTGTTAATTTACCGGAATCAGATGCTATAGAAACCATTAAGAAACGGAAAAATTTCCTTAATTTGGGAACAAGTTTTAAATTAGGAGACAACCAGTCGTATGCCTTAGATGATTCAGATGATTTACCCTGGCAACCCATATTGGAAGGAAATTCCTTAGATAAAGAGGTGGTAGAGACTAGCCGCAGTTTTTCCTCACAACCAGAGGAGATCTTTGAGCCGGTACTAAATGACAAAAGATTAAATGTCAATAGGGGACGTAATTTAAATGAGGAGATTGTAGAACCTTTACTAAAAGCCACCACGCCACGTATGAAAAAAGGCAAAGAAATAAAATTACCCGATCCTGCAGATGAAGCAAAACCTCCAAAACCAGAAATTATAAAAATAACCACTATAACGAAATCCGATAGACCAAAATCTAACTCGGAAGAACAAACTATTACCGTACAACTGTTTCCCTTCCGCTTGGGGGAACTTTTGCAACGGGCCGAACGTTATGCCAGAGAAACTATATTGCCTTTAATATCAGTGCAAGCACCAAGATTTTTCGGTTTTAATTTCTCGCCCAACGAGAACAATGTTAAAAGTGAAACCAGAAAACCACGCTATATACCCAGATTTGAAGATCCCCTAAGTACGAATAAAACAAAAAATCAAACAAAATCTCTTAATAATAAGAGAACAGGTGATTTACAAACATCCGAAACTAGAGAACAAAGAAATATTTTTGAATTATTAAGACCCACAACTTTGAGTGCGCTACCGCTAGAAAATAACAATGAACCAGAGGTACAAGAAACGAAAAATGAAGTTACTTATTATACGAATGTATTACTAACAAATGCACGATCTATGAAACCAGAAGTGGCCGAATATGAACCGGTATTTATAGATTTACCCACTTTCCGGCCACCCAAAGCCCGAAAGGTGCGTTCTGCTACCACAATCAAAAGAAGAATATTAACAAAACCTTAGTTATTAATTAAAATCTTAAGATTAGTTTAAATTTAATAATAATTGTAAAAAATTTAAGAGCTTTTCATGTAATTACTGCTTAGCAGTTTAAAAAGGGGAAAAGCCATTTGTAATATTGATATGTGATATTTAAGAAAATTATTGGCGTTATTTAAATTTTTTGTATTTACAGGAAAATACGTTTTATTTTTTGTAAAATTAGGCCATTTTGTTGGAGTAGCATAAAAGTGGTTTGTTTTATTTTTCTACAATTTGTTTTTTATATTTATTATAAATAAGTTTGAAGACATTTATAGTTATTAAGTATTTATTTATGTACTATGATTTATGTTTTTGTATATAATATCCCAAAATAATTTAGTAAATTTTTAATTAAGATTTTTGTAATTAATAACAGAAATAAAATAAATGTACGTGTAATGTATAAATAGTTGTTATTTTTAGTTAATTATTGATAAAATAACCTTTTTTAAAAGATTTAAATTTAAGGTAGTTTGCTTTACAGTTACTCATAAAACTTGGTAGCACTTTTTTAATAATTTTCTGCAGTGGCAACTACGCGCACATATGTATAGAGTGGCAACATCCTTTTAATTGCTTTTTTTTATTTTTTTGTGCGAATTTTTGTGTTTTGTAATTTTTAATGAAATGTTTTCTGTAAATTAAACAAATTTAATATTTGAACAAAATAGAAGTAGAATTGACATTTATTTTATGGGAATTTACAAAGTGGTGTCATCGTATGTGGAAAATGGTGAGTAAAGAAAAGAAATCCAAAAGTGTTCCATGAAGTTCCAAGCCTGTTAAAAGTAAGAAATATATCTTGGATGCGTTTAATTAAATTTAATAGTTTACTTTCCACAAAATGTAATAATCTAATTATAAAATGCATATATATATTCACATCCATAATAACATTTATATAAAGTAGGAATCAGTTTGAAATGAGCAAGTATGTAACTACAGGTACGAAGACATACACCCAGGGCACCATCGAGCCTGTAGTGCGCTACTTTATCAGTCTCTGTTGAACATCGAACCACAGGGTATACAGAGGCGTCACGAGCAAAAAACTATTTCCCTCTCTTTCGCACAAAACGAATTCAATAATTTTTTTTAGCTGTATCTTATATACCTCTTCTCACCAAACAATTTCAAAATCAAACAAAAGCTGATTTTAGACTTTTTTAAATGTCAAAAGTGACACCTCTGTATACTTTGTGCATCGAACCCACAATCGCTCTATTGAGAAACTATAACACTACGAACTACAGGAGGTAAAATTAAAGTGTTTGTTGGGTTTTGTTGTACAAATTTTAAGGCAGATATAAGACTGTTACAGCACACATTGTTATAGGTATTCATTTCAAAAGGCTAGATCTTGAATATATTGACTTTTACGGAATCTGTTACAATGTAGAGAAAGATGAAACAGTTCCATTTACTCTGTTACTGCTCAATATTTACCCAGAAAAGGCAGCTTCATTTCGACACTCCATTTCATGTATGAAGGAGCAATCTTAAACATATCCTCAACTTTATGAAAGGACACCCCCCGAACCCAATGGTTTTATTTCGGCAGTAGCGACTTCCGGTCACAGAGAACTGTGTCTAATACAGTATCCAAAGCGATACTAGAAATTTAATGGAGCCTAGTGAACTGCTCTTTGAGCAACTGCACTTCGAACTTAACCTAAAGATTTTTGTTCAAATTGGTCTCCATTGATCAACATGTTCCGATGAAAAGTTCTGGAACCAGTTCTTCCATGAATAATTTTTATATAAAATTATTATCTTTGAAATTAGTTCTGTGGAATATTTTGAGAAACAGTTGAAGATTTGTTTCATCAATATGGTTTTGTTATGTATGTATGCACTTTTTATTTTATAAACATACCTATCTTTCTCTTCTACGTATTTACATATTTACTTAAAAATGTCTACCAAATATTCTATACAAACAAACATTTTTTTCCAAATTTAACAAAATGCATAAATAAAAAGAAATAAACAAATAACAAATGCCAATTTGTAGACTTAAAATTGCATATACAATTAAGTATAAAAACCTCCAAAAATTTCAAACATCTCAACAGTCCCACAAGTGCAATTGAAGTATAACTCCACTTAATAAAAACAAATCAAAAAGAACGATGAAATATTTGGCTATCCTTATTGTATTGGCTTTCGTATTTGGTGGAGTGGCAGCCGGTGTTGTCAAGAGATCTATTCCAGATGTAGAAGTACCCTGTATAGATGGCTTAAGTGAATTATTGGAGGAATTATATGACATGGTTTCTAATAATGATGTCACAAATATGTGTAAATCGCCTTCAGAAGAAGATAATAAAGTTTGTGATTTAGTTTCTGGACCATTGAGTGCTGTTTTTGGAAAAATTGATGAAGTGGTAAATGTACTTGTTGCACATTGTAAGAATTAATTAGATAGAAATCTTATATTATTTAAAATGCTTTGAATTAAAAACTTATGTATTAAAAAAGTATTAAAAATTCATACTAATTTTTTTTAAAAAATATATCTGTGTTTCCATTAAATAAATTTTATTCAATAACTATTTAATTTTTAATAAAATTGGACTTATTATTTAGAAATTTGTAAGAAGTCACCCTTTTTTAAGGAGTTATTTCGAAAAAAAAACATTTTTCGAGAAATTACAAAAATACCTTTTATTATTTTTAAACTTTATCTTTTTAAGAATTTTTTTTTACTAATTTCGTATAATTTTTTTTATAAAAAATTCAATTCAGTTCTAGTTCAGTTCTAGTTCATTTCTAGTTCATTTCTAGTTCAGTTCTAGTTCAGTTCTAGTTCATTTCTAGTTCATTTCTAGTTCTAGTTCAGTTCTAGTTCAGTTCTAGTTCAGTTCTAGTTCAGTTCTAGTTCAGTTCTAGTTCAGTTCTAGTTCAGTTCTAGTTCAGTTCTAGTTCAGTTCTAGTTCAGTTCTAGTTCAGTTCTAGTTCAGTTCTAGTTCAGTTCTAGTTCAGTTCTAGTTCAGTTCTAGTTCAGTTCTAGTTCAGTTCTAGTTCAGTTCTAGTTCAGTTCTAGTTCAGTTCTAGTTCAGTTCTAGTTCAGTTCTAGTTCAGTTCTAGTTCAGTTCTAGTTCAGTTCTAGTTCAGTTCTAGTTCAGTTCTAGTTCAGTTCTAGTTCAGTTCTAGTTCAGTTCTAGTTCAGTTCTAGTTCAGTTCTAGTTCAGTTCTAGTTCAGTTCTAGTTCAGTTCTAGTTCAGTTCTAGTTCAGTTCTAGTTCAGTTCTAGTTCAGTTCTAGTTCAGTTCTAGTTCAGTTCTAGTTCAGTTCTAGTTCAGTTCTAGTTCAGTTCTAGTTCAGTTCTAGTTCAGTTCTAGTTCAGTTCTAGTTCATTTCTAGTTCATTTCTAGTTCATTTCTAGTTCATTTCTAGTTCAGTTCTAGTTCAGTTCTAGTTCAGTTCTAGTTCATTTCTAGTTCAGTTCTAGTTCAGTTCTAGTTCAGTTCTAGTTCAGTTCTAGTTCAGTTCTAGTTCAGTTCTAGTTCAGTTCTAGTTCAGTTCTAGTTCAGTTCTAGTTCAGTTCTAGTTCAGTTCTAGTTCAGTTTAGTTCAGTTCTAGTTCAGTTCTAGTTCAGTTCTAGTTCAGTTCTAGTTCAGTTCTAGTTCAGTCTAGTTCAGTTCTAGTTCAGTTCTAGTTCAGTTCTAGTTCAGTTCTAGTTCAGTTCTAGTTCAGTTCTAGTTCAGTTCTAGTTCAGTTCTAGTTCAGTTCTAGCTCAGTTCTAGTTTAGTTCTAGTTCAGTTCTAGTTCAGTTCTAGTTCAGTTCTAATTCAGTTCTAGTTCAGTTCTAGTTCAGTTCTAGTTCAGTTCTAGTTCAGTTCTAGTTCAGTTCTAGTTCATTTCTAGTTCAGTTCTAGTTCAGTTCTAGTTCAGTTCTAGTTCATTTCTAGTTCAGTTCTAGTTCAGTTCTAGTTCAGTTCTAGTTCAGTTCTAGTTCAGTTCTAGTTCAGTTCTAGTTCAGTTCTAGTTCAGTTCTAGTTCAGTTCTAGTTCAGTTCTAGTTCAGTTCTAATTCAGTTCTAGTTCAGTTCTAGTTCAGTTCTAGTTCAGTTCTAGTTCATTTCTAGTTCAGTTCTAGCTCAGTTCTAGTTTAGCTCTAGTTCAGTTCTAGTTCATTTCTAGTTCAGTTCTAGTTCAGTTCTAGTTTAGTTCAGTTCTAGTTCAGTTCTAGTTCAGTTCTAGTTCAGTTCTAGTTCAGCTCTAGTTCAGCTCTAGTTCAGTTCTAGTATAATATGCATTTTGAATTTTCTCAACTAAATGTAATCATTGTTATATAATTACAATAAAATAATAAAAATATTTTAAAAATCTCCAAAAAAGATGTGTTTTATTTATTAAAATTAACAATTTCTGCTTTTGAAACTCTTGGATTGGACGTTACAATTTTCATATTATTTAAAAAACTTGGCAGCACTGTTACAATGTGGTGAAAGCGCCATCTATTGTTTAGGTTAAGGCCGTTTGCAAATGCAAGAAATCGATGTGGCAACATTCCTGCAATTTTGATAGGCCACTATCTCCAGGTGGCAACGCTATACCAAAAGTCTTGGATTTTGTTGTAGGGTTGCCAGATCGTTTTCCATAGTGGCATACCAAAATTGCTGAAATGTTGCCACATCGATTTCTTGCTTTTGCAAACGGAGTTAAATTAAAAAATAGATGGCGCTTTCAACACATTGTAACAGTGCTGCCAAGTTTTCTATATTTATTAAGGAATTTAACGGCTGCATTTAAATTCAATTTGACTAACAATTAAAAAAACAAGTTAAATAAATTTTTTTCAGTACTTTTTTAAAATTTCTTCTCTTTATTATTATTATTTAGTTTATTTTTAGACTTTTTATGCCAAATATTCTTTATTTTCATTTTGTTTACCATTTATAGTTCAATATGTATAATTAAATTATTTGTTGTTGTTTTTTCTTGTCATTATTATTGGTTGGTTTTATACTATATATTTATACGTTACATTTTATTTTCTTTGTTTACTAAATTTGTTAATAATTTATTTTGGTATTTTTTGTAATTTTTTTGTTAAATATGTTTTTTTGTTTATTTTTTCACCACCAATAATACCGTTAAATAAACTTAAATAGTTAACTAAATACAAATATATTTTATGTTAGTATGTTTTGTATATATAGATGTGAGTTTTTGAGATTTTTTCCATAAGTTAGAATTAAAAAGCAAGGTGAATTTAAGATTTCAAATAAAAAAATATTCAAAAAATTATTAGTTTGTTTTAATCAATAGGTGAATAAGGAATTCTGAATTAGTTGAATAAGTTTATTAAGGAAATTTA